CCGTTGTCAACGTCGAGCGTGTACGTCCAGCGGTCGGCGGCACCTGAGGTGCAGTCGTACGAGAGCTGGTAGCCCGTGTAGCTGAGCGTCTTGTCGTTGGCGGTGGCAGCAGCCGCGGTGGCGAGGGCGAGGCAAGCGAGGGCAGTGCGCATGATGAAGCGAAAGGTAAAATGAAGTGGTGGGGTCGAAGCGCCTTGTAGAATCTGGGTCGCGCAAAGATGCAGGAAGATTCTGGGCTAGTCAACGTACGCGAGGGACCCAACTCAGGTGGGAGTCGTCGCACTTCAACCACCTCAACTTGTACGAAAACAGCCGTGTCGGTGGTTTGGGTATTTCGGCGAGATGCGCACCTTGTCACTACCGCGGGGGGGTGTTGTACTTGTACACTTTGAACCTGCTGCACTCGGCGTGAGCCAAGGGACGTTTGAACAAATCGCCGCGGGCACCGAGCTAGCTGTGTAAATGATACACGTGTCGTGGTACGCTTTGGTGCGTGCATGGCTTGTGTGTGGTCGAGAGCGCGATCAGGTCAAGAGCTCAATTCGAGTAAGAGTGGGACAGTCGTCTGATAACTGTGGCCACACGATCATGTATGCTGCACCATCTCAGAACTTAGAACTGTCTTATTGGTCAAGCTCGGGCGATTACCGGACAAAGGTCGCGCCGCGCATCGTTTTGGCGCCAAAGATTCGCAAACAGATTCGCGGGAGGAAGCGCGACCACGTATTCGTCACCTGCAAAGCATGCGATGCCACACCAGCCGCTTGAAGTTGACGCGTACATAGCGCGGCCGCGCGCCACCGTGATCACGCAGTCCGGCACCGTTTACACATTGGAGGAAGGTCAATCACAATGTATTGATTCAACAGTCTCGCTCTCCTCCGCTCTGTGTCTTATAGAGGTTCTCACCTGTCGTCCTGGAGACTGGTGTCGCCAAGAAGACGCGTGGCGACAAGTGTTGAAGCGTTGAAGGTGCGAACTCTCGAGCGTGTTGGTACATTCGCTCGTTATGGAGACAAAGGCGTATATTAGTATAATAGTGTACGCCGTCGCCTCGACAGGTAACGTTTCTGCCGACCTAATGAGCAATTTGCGAGATGTCTTGCGCGCATTGGGTTAGAGCTTGGCTACACCAATGCAATGATCTCTTCTCCATGTTGTGAGTTGGACGGGTTCTTCGCGGTTATTCAAATTGTTATGCTTTTCGGGTACTTACACTGCGTCCATCTCCCAGCTCGGCAATGGTTCGGGACGACAAGCCTGGTAGTACGAGTACTTGGCGAGCAAATTCTTCATTTAGAGTTTGTATGTTGATAGATCCTGCATGGAATTGGATAAAACTATCACCGTAGTGGCAGTTTGATTGATGAAAATGATCATGTTACCTTGACCCGGAAAAGTGCTTGACGGCGTAGTACAGTACATGTATTAGTACATGTACCGCTATTGACGCTCGTCAACCGCCAAAGAGGAGCGCTACTTGCAGCACCGGTACAGCCACCGCGGGACAACCCAAGGACCACGCTCTTGCCCGATACAAGAGCTAGTACTCCATGTATGTACAACATACCAGTAGTCAAGAACATTGGCAATGAGCCCAAAGACCACCAACCTACCCATTACCTCGGGAAGAAGTTTGACCTTAATGGTACGTACTCCAAGATCACGACAAGTACGCAGGGATGAAAGACGCGTGCAGTGCAGCACCAACCAACGCGCGTTACGTCGGTGCCTCGTGCAACGTGCTATCGTCGGTTCTCTCTGCTTCCTCACGAGATCAAACAAAACACAGCGTCTATTGCAATCTTATGATCGCACAGTGTTTAGCTGCGGTCGCAGTTCTGCGGCAGGTCCCACGTCTTGGGCGCCACAAAGTCCTTGAGCGTAAGCGGCACCGGGATCGGACCGAGCCCGTCGTTCAGCTTTGCCTCGATCGCCGAGACGGACGTCAAGTACTCGTCCAACTTGCCGAGGTTGGCCT